TCCCCCCCCCCCCCCTTACCCTCACTGCACTGTAATCATAGTGTTTGGAACAACTTCACTTCAGTGCCGTATATCAACTGAGCGTGTGTGTTTTGTAAACACAGCTAAAAAATTTATTTTGCCCCCATTACAGAAACCTATAATTATTTTCACAGATAATTAATATGTCTTTTTGTCATATTTACGAGTTTTCCATCTGTAACCTTGAACTAAAACGTGAATATCAGGGCAGTTGACAGCGGGGCGGAGTTTGCTCGCAGTTAATTGGCAGACCTAATCAAAGCAGTTGATGAACACAGTACTGGCTGCAGGCGCTTTTGGTGGTTGAATCAGTGATGGCCAATGAAAAGACTGGTGTTGTAATTCAGTTTGTTTTTCACCAGCATTCCCCCCTGACTTGTGTAGACAGTGGGGCTCTTAAGTGCCGCCTGCCTGAATTAGAATTGATAATTATGAAGTATTAATGGGGCGCCCCACAGGTAGGTGCTGACATCTAACAGCAGGACCCTGGGCAGCCGTGAATCGCTTCGAGCGGTTGTCTTTCATTTGCTCAGACGAGGAGATCTGTTACTGTCAAGCTCAAGCCCGGCAGGCTGAGTTCAGAGGTACCCGTCTACCCAGATGAGGAACCCAGTGTGAACGTGTTCAGCAGTCTTCGCTCAGTGTGGGCACACTTGGCCCGGTCACTTCCCTGGCGGCTGTAACACACTGCTCACTCTCGGTGTCAATCAATCATGAAGCGGTTGTCTAGTTATCCTCACGATCCCTGCTGGTGCAGACTGCCATTTCCTCAACCTCACACACACACACACACACACACAGGCGGTCGCTATCCTCCTCGCTCTCTTCTCTTCTCTTTGAACACGTCTCTTCCATCATGCTGCCAGTAGAACTGACAACAGATTTATTTTCTTTCTTTAAGCGCTTTTTGTTGGACTATTGGAATAGATTAAATGCCATATTAAGTAATGCTTTCTTTTGGGTTTGGCTTGAGCCTCGTTTGGCACTTTTTGACTTTTTCCCCCAGCTTGGTTGTAATAGAGCCCTGTGGCTTCTGATTGGTTGGAACTTCATGAAGAGTGTCTCAGTACTTTTAGATTAGAGATACACATGATATATTGTACGGTTATTGGCTGGTACTGATATTTGTGTGTGCGCGCGTGTGTGTGTTTGGCCATTCAGTGTTGACGATTTTGTTAGTTAAAACTATTAAAAATCATTTTCGTTAATTGAAAAAAGCATAAACATTAGCTGAAATAATATATGAAGTATAATATAAATAATATTTTAATTAAGAAAATAAAATATAAATTGTAGCTAAAATTGAACTTAAATGAAAAAATTGCCTTGTCAACTAACTGAAATAAAATATTTTAAAGTATGTTAAAGTATTGTCATACTGAAATAAAAACAAAGCTAAATAGAACTATTTAAAATAATTAATAAATTTGACGAACATACGGAATTGCTAAAAGTAAACTAGAATTAAAATGAATACTGAAAATAGAAAAGCTAATTGAATATATTAATAAATACTATAGTATATTATTAATACTAAAATTTTACTGCAGTCAGTGTTGGATATTTAATTATTTACATTATTTTGCTGTTTTTTTTTTATTGTAGTACACTCGCAAATTTAATATTTAATACATGAATTAACACTGTTTAATATAACCTTTTGATAATATCACAAAATCTCAAACTTTATTTTTATAATGTATTTGATTCATTCATTCATTGATTGTTCACAGAATAGTATAGAATTGATCATTTATCGACCATAACATGAAAATAGTTATCTTATCTATATTGGTCAGTTTTAGAATCATTGCTTCCTTACTTAACATGCACTTTAAATATTCAGTGTGTCAGATTAAAACGGTAATTTGTTGCTTATTTGTGTAATTAAAAAACAAACAAAGTGTAATTAAAATGCTTCAATCATACTGAAATTGCACCAATCTATTGCAAAGTTGAACAAATAGAAAATGTGGTAGTTCAGCTTCATCCAGCTTGTCTACATACAACCCTGCTGTAGCTTGATTATAAATGCACGTGTAAATGTACTGAGTGAGATTGGACAAGGCCTGGTGTTGGTGAGATGTTGGCGAGAAGGAAATGTTCCTTTACAGATATCTATCAAACTCTGCTCATCACCATGACATCACCTCCACCAGCTCTGCTCCGCATGTCTTCTCCGTAAGCGTTCACGTTTCAGAGCCTGGCCTCTTTGGGCTCCTCATTATAGCCCCATAAACCGCTTTTGCTTTCATCAGCGTGTTGCATATTCTAGTAACCCTGTCGCACATCTGTTCACTCTTGTTCTAGGTGTGGCTTACATACACGCCACCCACAGTCCTTCACACGACTTGACCTAGTGGAGCTCCTCTCTCCTGATCTTCCTTTGAAGGCCCCCGGAGATGCGAGGAGGGTCTGTGCCGGGATCAACTCTGTGGTTTCCCTCTCAGCAGGGGCTTCGCTGGTGCATGGCGACTTGTTGCCATCCAGTGGAACACCGCTGCTCTCCTCCCCTCCGTTCTGTTGTGGCTTCAGTCTGGAGCATCCATCTGAAGCAGCTGTTGGGATGATGAATCTTTCCCTGAAGCCCAAGTCCTAATCCGGCTAAAGCGCCCTCTTGTAGACCAGCCATGGAGGATATAATGAATTAGGTGTCTACCCAGGGTTCCATGACCCTTGACCTGTGACATCATCAATCAGGGAGCACCTACACTTAACTGAAGTGCAGGGGCCAGAGGGCAACAGACGGTAATGCTTAACAACTGTCTATGAGGCTTGGGGATTGATTTCCAGTTGTTTTATTTTTTATTTCATTCTAATACTCTCTGGTGATGTGTTTACATGACATTCGTGATTCGAGGGAAATTTTGTTTAAGCGTAGCGGGAAAAAGAAATATACCGTGCGAAGAGAGGACAACCATTGCAAAAAAAGCCGAGGCAGAGAATAAGAGGGGGGGAGAGAGAGTCCCAACTTTTTGGGCCTTACACATATGGAAAGAATTTTTCCCCCACCAGATTTGCCTGTACCCGGTACACTAACGTTGCCCAAGGGCAGAAGATTTGTAATTCCTCATCCTTCTGTAGGTAAAACCCAAAGCAAGAACTAAACAAACCGACTGGACGCCAAAGTCAGCTGCCATGCATGTTTTTATTAATTAATTTAATTGAGAGTGTGTTTGTTTTTATCATTGGTTCTTGTTTATCATTGAACATACAGTATTATTAAAAAAAAATTGGTCAGTAAGACTTTAGAATGATTTTTGAATAAATCTCTTATGTTCACTAAGGCTGCATTTATATGTTCAAAAATACAGGAAAAACAGTAATATTGTGAAATTATTATCATCATCATCATCATCTAAAATAACTGTTTTATGAATTTTGAAAATTTATTTTTTCCCCCTGAAGGATTATAGTAACCCTGCTATAAAAATGCATTAAAAATATAAGAAATGCATTACTTGAAATAAAATAAACTTTTATAAATATATAATTTATTTCAGCTAGTTGCCAAGGCAACATTTTAATTAAAATAACTAAAACCGTAATAAAAATAACACTGTTCCTGTGACGCGAAGCTGAATTTTCAGCAGTCGTTACTTCAGTCTTCAGTGTCACATGATTCTTCAGAAATCGTTCTATTATGATGATTTGGTGCTCAAGAAGCATTTCTTACTATTATCAATGTTGAAAGCAGTTGTGCTGCTCAGTATTGTGGAAACTCATTTATTTGACATAAATATTTGTTGTAACTTTAAAAATGTCTTTAATCTCACTTTTCAGTCAATTTAATGCATCCTTGATAAATATCAATTTCTTTCAAAAAATAATTTAAAAAGTGCACCTACTAACCCTAAACATTTGAAGAGTTGTGATTGTCTTTTTACAGTGTTGCTTGTTTGTAAGTGAGAGAACCCAATAAATGTGTATTATATATAAAGCAGTATTATTGTAATGGGTGTTTGCATACACATCATAGTATAAATCTAGGCCTGTAAATGGCAACACTGTTGTCACTTGCACAAGGAGATGAATGATCTTCTAGATAAGGGGTGTGTGTGTGTGTGTGTTGTGTATCTGAGAAGGAGAGGGGTGAGGAAGGAGGGGAAGGACACCTCCGTTGTAAATCTTGTTGTGTAGACAGCATGCCTGCAGCTCTGTTCTGAGTTATGAGACTGTAGGCTTTTATCAGCTCTCTCATTCTGCTTTTATCCGCTAAACTGATTTATGAGACAACCTACTGCATGTAGCTGTGTAGCTCAAGCGCTTCTTGCAGATAATGAGTGGAGAACCTCGGAGGTGCTGTAAATCTGAGTAAACAAACAAGCACCTTAAATGTCGCCTTTTTTTTTTGAGGTTAAGTGAAAATAGGTCACAGAAGGTAAACGGAAATTCAGAGGCCACACTGATTGTGGCAGTATAAAATGACCGCAGGCTCTGGTTTAAGAATTGTAGTGACATGTTAAAGCAGTAATGGGTGTTATATGCAAATATGTGATTTTCGGTTTTGTGGTTTACAAATATTTGTCTACTTATCTAATTATATGTGACCCTGGACCACAAAGCCAGTCTTAAGTCGCTTGGGTATATTTTTAGCAATAGCAAAAAAAACATTGTATGGGTCAAAATTATCAGTTTTTTAGGATCATTAGGATATTAAGTAAAGATCATGTTCCATGAAGATATTTTGTAAATTTCCTACCGTAAATATATCAAAACTTCATTTTTGATTAGTACTATGCATTGCTAAGAACTTCATTTGGACAACTTTAAAGGTGATTTTCTCAATATTTAGATTTTTTTTGCACTGACAGATTCCAGATATTCAAGTAGTTGTCTCTCGGCCAAATATACAAAACATACATCAATGGAAAAGTTATTTATTCAGCTTTCAGATGATGTATAAATCTCAATTTAAAAAAATTGACCCTTATGACTGGTTTTGTGGTCCAGGGTCACATATTCATATTATTGCTGTCAAACAATTAATCACTATTATATATAAACAAAACATTTTTCTTAAATATATACATGCATGTGTGTATTTATATACATAATAAATATACACCGTACACACGCATATATTATGTAAACAAAAACCTTTATTTTGAATACGATTAATTGTTTGACAGCACTAAAATATATATATACCACACTATTTTTAACTGCAAATACAAGTGATATTTTATATTAAATTATTAGATTATTATTATTATTTGAAATATATTAAGGCTTATTTTATTGGTAACAAATGGTATGAAATATATTTATTTCATAATAGCAACGATATCTGCCAGCCCTGCTCTAGTGAACTTTGCAGTATCCTGTGCTGTGATTGGCTGAAGGCAGCATCAGATGATTAATGCTGTGGTTCATCAGAGCACGAGCAGTCTGATAACCTCTGATAAACACTGCTGCCATATGCTTCTGTTTGTCTGTTCTTTTCCTCCTCCTCTTTTCCTCACTATTTCTTCATTCCTTTTTTTCCCCTCTCCATTATTCTCACATAGTCTTTGTCTTTCATCTGTTTGTTTGTCTCTCTTTAGGCGGATTCTGGTCCGGTTCTGTGTGCCGGTTATGAGGACGGCTCTCTGGTGTTATGGGATGTTTCCCATCGCCGTCCGTTCAGCTGTCTGAAGGCACATCCTGAGCCAGTCATGTGTCTAGACATTGATGTATGCAAGCAGAAAGGCATCTCGGGGTCTTCAGAGAAGATCCTCCAATCCTGGACCCTTGACAACCAGCAAAACCTTCAGGTGAGATCACATGTGAAAGTGACAACCAAATTTAAATTCTTCATGAACTCAAAATTGACCTTATTAACTATCGTAATGCGTTTTCATTATTGAAAACTTTTTTTAATCAGTGAAAATTTTTTATTTAGAGATCTGCCTCTAAAGCAACTTTGCTTTTTGGCTGCCGTCACCTTGGTCTTGTGAGTTAATGGGTAATAATATTATTATTAATCAATACCCAAAAATCTATTTATGGATGGGATAATATTATAGCCTTTCTATTATCTTTCCAGTAGTAAATTATTGGGCTGCCCGATTAATCGGTAAAACTTAAATCGCGATATGGTTTAGTGTGATTATCAAATCAAGCAAGCTGTGATTTTATTAAATAAATAAACTGTGTTTTAGAGTGAAGTGCGGCACTGTGTTCGTACACATGAGCAGCTCATTATCTGCCAGTGTTTGCAGCACCTCAGAGTGGCTTGTTTCACAGTAAATGCTGCTCCACACAAACTACATCTCTGCATCTGATCTGAGTTTGGGTAGCTTTAATGTGCACTTAGGAACCAAACATTACATTAGTAATTACTTGTTTTAAAGTATTTTTTTAATTGTAATTTTATTTATTATTATTATTATTGCCATATTGATTATATAATCACAAAATGTTGGTCAAATTGTGTAGCCCTACAAACTAGCACGGCAAAGCTGGATTTTTTTAATTTTTTTATTTTTTTCAGATTGCATTTTTAATCACAATTTTTTTTCCGTTTAAATATTTCAGCCATAATAAATGCAATGGTTTAGTTCTAGTCTTTTTAATAAAGGAGAGCAATAATTGCAAATTGTGTTAAATTTGAAAAAAGAAGCATTATTATTGGGATACAGTGAGATGCTCTCAAAGGTGAACTTGACCTTCAGCCTTGAAGTCCGTTTAAAAAGCCTTCTCAAAATTTGCTGCCATCAGTATTTTTGAAGTGGATATTTTAAATATTTAACTGCAAAGTCACATTCTGATATAGAGCACCCACTTTTCACAATCCAGTCAATTTTAGTTCCATGTTCTTGTTTTTTTTGTGTGAACATTGTGACTGTATATCACATTGTGGAAGTCAAATGGGTTTTGAAAGCCTTTTTGATTGACATGGTGATAATGACATAGTTTTGTAGTTTCTTTGGTTTGTTCAAGAATCAAGGGTGCCAACCGTTTTAAATATTTTTTGATCAAAGTAATATTAGTTACTAGATGTTTTTATTATTGTCCATCAGTCAATAGTAAACTGCTGTTACATGTTCATTCTCTGTCGAATTAAGTAACTGGTTGTTCAGTTTGGTTCTCTAAAAAAATGAATTAAAACTCAGGTGTCACTCCTCTAAATAATCAAACAATGTGTGTGTAGGCGTATTTGGCATTTAGAAGTGGAGTAAGAGTATTGAGGAGCGTATTTAGCAGCGGTGTGTACGTGGCCATGTAGACACACACCACCTCATACACTTGGAAAGTATTTGGCTAGAATATAAAGTTTCCTCCGATCTGTTGGATAATAAATCAGTCTCTTTTACTTTAGATTGGCAACTCTCAGCTACACTGTGATGTCATACTTTAGTTCTAGGCCAGATTTTGCCTCTAGACAAAAACATCTCTTCTCCCACAATACTGTGCGCATACAAATGCTTTTATATTTATACAGCATTCTTACAAAATGAGCACACGCAAAAGCCATGTTTTATCTTGCATAACACTTTACTCATCTGAAAGGTAATGCCTCATTAGCAGTCATATTCTCTGCTGATTTCAGGTCTTACAGATTCAATATTTCATATTCTGCGAGAAATCTGTGTGAAAAGGCTCTGATATACAACACTGCAGTCCTGCGCATGGATTGTTATTCTTTCTAGTGCCTTTTACACATGAATGGATGAATTAGAAATATTCCCAAACCCAAACCTTCCTCCCTATTTTGTCTAGCATGCAAAATGTATCTGCAGTAATAAGCATTTATTCACAAAATAGGAGCTGTATCGACGTTTTAGTTTATTTTGCATGTAAAAAAAAATTGATTTAAAATGTCATTCTTGGCGGAGAGGGCCTAAAAAAAAAAAAGAACAGCTCGGAAAAGGAGTCAGCCGGGGCTTTTAAATTACCCTGAAGTGCAGCGCAGTGTGACGTCCAGACAGCCGCTGCGAGCTCTTCCCACAGACGTATTTTTGTGTGGCGGTATCGCTGGGGGTATCTGCAGGGTGGCTGCTCTTCTCGCTTGCCCCGCTTGACGAACGACCCGCGAGAGGTAATAAAAACATCAAAACCTCACAGGCTGCTAACCAAACAAAAAACACATCTGCAATAAAAGGAACAGTAGTTCACAGTGGGAGGCTCTACGAAAGGCTGAGGAGAGATGAAGCAACATGGCCCAGGTCTCCACCATCCGACCTTAACCTGCTGCTGAAGTGCACACGCTGTGGAGAGATAACAGTACTCTCTCAGCACCGTTTTTTTATTATTTTTTTTAAATGATTTGTTTTCAATTGTTTCCATCTTTTTGTTTTTTCAAGAAAATATTTGAAAATATTTGAATTTAGTCCATTTTGTCATGTAGCTTTACTTAAAATGGTATCTAAGTTTAGTTGAAAATCATTTTAAACCAAATATTCAAAAAAATTTGTTAAATGTATTAATGCTTAAAGGTGATTTTTCACCCAATTTTTTTTAAAGGTGATTTTTCACCCAATCATTTACTCACCCTCATGTCATTCCAAACAGGTATGACTTGTCTCTCTTTCTTTTTGACTATACATTGAAAGTCAGTGTGGTCCAATGTAGTTTGGACCCCAGCATGTCTTCAGCATACCTTTTGTGTTACGCAGAAGAAAGGGAGTCATACCGGTTTGGAATGACATGTATGTAAACTATTGGGTGAACTATCTCTTTAACTAAATAAAATCAATAAATAAATGTTTTTATTCTGTAAGGACATTAAATATCTCAAAATAACAGCAAAAAAATTTAGTAATGGCTGCTGTTTTTTTTCCAGATTTGCCATCACAGGAATAAATTACATTAAAAAAATATATTAAAAGAGAAAGGAGTTTTTTTTTTTAATAGTATTATTTTGAAAAATTATTACAGTTTTGAATTTTTTTTTTAATCAAATAAATGCTGCCTTGGAGAACATAAGAGACTTCTTTCAAAAATATTTAAATGTGCATTCAGCTTCAGCTCATGCTGGCCAATCTCCAGCAGTAGTCTATCATTGGATTATTTGAAAGAATAATATTCCTGTTTTTCTTCTTCAAAAAACATTTTCAGTACATTGTTTATATCTTATGTTATGTTATTTTTGTCTCCTCTTATTTCTTGCAACAGCAAACATTTCAATATTGTCATGATGCACTTATTTTTTTTTACGTCTCACTTTCATTATCATTATGAAATGGAAAAATTCTTTACAATTTCTTTTTGTTGTCAGCAGTAGTAATGACGAGATTAACTGCCTCTTATCTTCAACTTTTTGCTGAAAAACGGTCAGTAGTCTGTAAGCTTGTGTATGTGAGCTGAAGAAAGAGAAGCGGTTCTTATCAAGCACAGATAAACAGTGATTCGCCTGGGGCGGCCCGCCGTTCCACACGCGCTCATGGATATGATAGCCGTGGTGGTGGAATTTAGCAGCCGCATCTGTCACAGGCTTGACTAAGAGTGATTATGCTTGCGTATCGCTTTGCATGTGTGATCGCAGCAGTTTGTGTAATGGTAAAGAGGCAAGACGTTTGTTGATCAGGATTTGGCTATGGGTGGTTGGCCTCGCTCCTGACTATTGACAGATGTAGACGGACAAGATTTTAGAGGGTGAGGCAGAGATGCTTGTATGTGTGTAAAGATTAGTGTAAATCAAGCATGGCTGTCTTTGCATGCTGTTGGAGACGTGCTGACAGCACTCACAGGTGGATCTCCACATTTCTTCACTTTCAGTCTCTACATTCCTACCGCCCTTCTCAATTAAACGGCCCTCCTCCTACTACCCATCCTGCACCACACCAGACTCTGTGCTTCAGGTATCCACCATCTGTCAGCACCAGACTGGAGGGATCAGACAGCCCTATCGAGGGGTGTTCTGGAATGAGGAAGTGGGATGCTTTGTAAATTCCTTCGCTGTCATCAATAATATTTGGCATCGATTTAAATTTTTCACTGCTGTTGTGCTGAGATGTTTTTTGTTCAGGTGTCCATGAGTTGTAATGCTCAAAATTGAGAGCTTTAGGGTTGGAAAAAGTCGTAATTTGAAGCGCAATCAAAAGCGAAAGGGGTGTGACATAAAACACCGTTGTCGGAAAATGCAAGCACACCCCTCATCTGTACTGGATTGTCAGGCTCAAGTGGACATGTGATGATAACTGGTTTCAGTGGATCAGTGTGAAGTCAGTTGAGCCTGCCAAGTCCATGCCGGGGAGAGCAACATATTGCGCTTTGTACATCCCGTTGGTTGCTGCCAAAAATCGATCACACTTAGCTTTTTAACTGGCCGCTGTGTAGCGCAACCTGCTGTACTGCGAGTCATTGCGCGCTTGTCTCGTTGCATTGCTTTCGAAAAATGATCAAGGGTAACTTTTTAATAGACGTATTTTTGTAGGCCAACTCAGTAGGTAGCATCGCCATGGTTCCCTCGACAAAAGCCAATTGGGGTGTCCTTTTAATTGAATAATAATTTTAATAGTAATAATAAAAGAAGTTCTGTGACCAATAAAATTTGATGCTTCTTATGTTTTGATGAACACAAATGAAACTTAATGCAATCAATAGAAGTAAAAAAACTAAACAGGCTATCAATGCTATTGCCATTAAGCTTCCGACAACTCTTTTTCTTTTCTTTTTTTTTTAAATGTGACCCTGGACCACAAAACCAGTCATAAGGGTCAATTTTTTGAAATTGAGATTTATACATCATCCGAAAGCTGAATAAATATGCTTTCCATTGATGTATGGTTTTATGATAGGACAATATTTGACCGAGATACAACTTTGAAAATCTGGAATCTGAGGGTGCAAAAAAAATCTAAATACTGAGAAAATCGCCTTTAAAGTTGTCCAAATGAAGTTCTTAGCAATACATATTACCAATCAAAAATTAAGTTTGAATATATTTACAGTAGGAAATTTACAAAATATCTTCATAGAACATGATCTTTATTTAATATCCTAATGATTTTTGGCATAAAAGAAAAATCAATAATTTTGACCCATACAATGTATTTTTGACTATTGCTACAAAATATACCCCAGCGACTTAAGACTGGTTTTGTGGTCCAGGTTCACAAATCTACAAGTTGAATAGTTTGCAAGAGTGTGATTATAAACACAATGGACTTATTGAGTTTTATAGAGTTAATGAGTTTTCCTGCTCGGCATGATGACGTTTATTGGCCATGACAACCTCTGTAGTCTCATTCAGCCACCTGTTAGCAACACGCAAAACGTCACGAATGGGGCATTACTGATGTATTTTATATAGAATAAATAGAATAAAATGTAAAAATAGTTTGACCTTGTATTAACCACAGACGTTATTTCAAACAAAAACCCACTCAAAAAACCCATTGACTTCAGGACGATGGAACCAGAAGTATAAAAATGCCAACTCCTTTCTAGCTTTAGGACTCATTCATGTGCCATTTCGTGTAGTTTAACCAAGTAAACGTATTATCCTCCAGTCCACCATTGGGCCTAAGGCGAGTTTTGAGGTTTGTTTTTGGTTACTCGTCGACAGGACAAGCATATGTGTGTACATTGCGTGCATAGATGACCATTTGCTATGTATCCCCCATCAGGAATCAATAGTCCAGTGGAGAAATGAAGGATAGTTCATAAAGACTGAACTCTTTGATGTCTGTAAGTTTCATTGTAGAGGAAGGAGAATGGATTCCATAAATGAAAGCTAATAACCATTCTCGATCTCTAAAGGCTGTGTTTGATATGAATGCTTCCATATTGCATTTGAACGCGACTGAGTATGGGGTAGACACCATCTTAATGAAGCATTTGTGTGGAAAAGTGATAGCCAGATGTGCTAACTTAGCAGGACTTTTGGATTAAACAGAGCCCATAATGTATAATCTCTGAACTTCTGTTTTAAAACACCATGAAATAGTGAAAACTGTAGGAAAATTCAGTTCATTTGATTATTTTTCAAAAAAACGAAAGTGTGGCAATCTGTAAATCATGGCTTTCTAATGGTTATTTCACGATACAGGCCTCGCGGCTCACTTTATAAACACCCATTTACCTTTTTTATCGCTTTGCTGTGACCTCTTAATTAAATTAATGTATTTTCCTGACACAAACTATGGGAAGCATAACAAACACAGATAGACACATTAACCCATCATTATCAGCTCTGTAATATGGACCAGATGGGCGTTTAGTTCAGGCATACCAGCCTCAGTTCGGAGCGATTCATCTTTCTCCCCCGTCCCTCTTGGCCGCAGCACGCAAACCATCTCTCCCTTTCCCTTTGTGGGAAAGTTTCTGCTCGCAGGTGACATCATTACTGTGCACCAGAATTTTGATTTGGACTATGATGTGAGTTGATTTCAGATGCGATCAAAAGTAATGCTAGAGTCTTGTTTTTCCTTCTCTGTTAAAGAATAATGTTAGGGACGGTTTTCCCGGTGCATTCTTCTATCCGCTTGGGTCAGGAATACCTGACTGGCTTATATCTTCCACATGCAGGAGTGACTGGCTCTGATTTTCCAGGCAGAAACAGGAGCACGCCGACAAATTCTTCACTGTCTTCTCCCGCATGAGAGCCATTAGTCTCTCTGGACACCGCTTATGAAGTCAATTTTACGCTGTCCAGTTCGATTCCAGCTTCAGGAACAGATGCCTCCCGTGGAGAGACGGCGTGGACGCTTGCACGCACACACTTAGCACACGTGTGCGTTTTTCTCCAGGAAATACCTCAAGAACACGAAGGAGAGGGGCCACAGATAATGAGCTCTCTGTAATACTTTATAATACGTCACATTGTTGCCCATTAGCGAGATTTATCTGGTCTCCTGGCCACCGTAGATCACGGAGAGCAAGGGAAGGTGATCTTTAGCCAGCGTTTGCTTCCCTTGCGCTGTTGACCAGACCTTTCAATGAAAATGTAATTCACTAGAGACTGTTAAAACAACAAGGCCTTCACAAACAAAGCAGTCCTTGCTTGGTGACAAAAGTAACTCAGCCCACCTCTAATGTCTAATGCTCCAATCCAAATAGCGTTTTGCTCATGCTTGAACGTTTTACAGCCGATGATTGAGGCGCTGGAGTCGCTCACGGATTTCCTCTGCCAGGTTCAACAGCTATTTAGCCGTTCATTTGCGGCTCAATCATCAGATCAGCCGAAGGTGGCTGGTGGGGAATTGCTCTCGCTCTATGCTGTGTTCTTTGTATGGATTTAAATTTGCTCTTGCTCAGGTCATTAAGCAACAAGCTCATTTGTTTCTGGTAAATAGTTTATGCGTTGTGCATTTAAACGGTAATCCTTTCTAGCCAACTGAGACGAATAAGCGCATATGGTGACAATTAGCGCGATTGATTTCGCGTCTGATATTCAGTTTACGCCCTGCTGTCGTGAAGAAATCGTAGAGATTCCAACGGGGCAGGTTGTTAATTAAAGTCCTACATTTGTCTATCGCAGCTCATTTGGATTTATGTCTGACTTGTGTTTCCTTATAGATGCACGACTCTGTTCAGATGACCAATCCTGGGGTCTCCCAGCTGCGTATCCGTGTCGATGGAAAGATCTTCGCTACGGCGGGATGGGACAACATCATCAGAGTGTTTGGCTGGAAGAAACTGAAGCCATTGGCTGTTCTGCAACATCATACTGACATGGTGAATAGTGTGGCCTTCTCAGACCATCAGGACCCCCCACAGAGACTTCTGGCCGCAGGGTCCAAGGACCAGCGGATCAGTGTGTGGTCTATATATAGTGAAAGTTGAGTTTGAAAGACAGAGGCCCACTTTACCATTTCCTTCAAACTGATTGTTGCAAATTACTCTGACTTTATTTACATACTTGAATGTGGTGCTAATATATTTTCTTTGAATGAAAGTGCCTAAATTAGTGGCTGACTGCCAATCAGAGGCGGAGCTACAACATAATCTCATTTAGCAAGATGTGCGGCAGTTTTTTTTTTTTTTTGTATAATAGGTCTTGTGTTTGCATACAAGGTTCTTAAGTTAGGATGGGAACTGAGAATAAATTATTTCAAACAGGTTCCATTTTTTTATTTTTTTTTATATCGAAATGGATGATTTTATTCACTTTTGGTTTTGTTAACAATTTTCGAATGAATGACTCTTATGAACTGGTTTCTGTTTGGTGAGTTAAACAAAACAGCATGACCAGTGTAGTTTGCGGTTTATATACAGTTGAGTTTCCACTTTAACATTTCCTTCAAACTGATTGTAGCAATTTACTGACTTTATTTACATACTAGAACATGGTTAATTTACTTTGAATGAAAGCACCTAAATTGGTGGCTGACTGCCATTCAGAGGCGGAGCTACAACATAGTCTCATTTAGAAAGACGTGCAGCAGTGTTGCCGTTACTTACGTGTCTAAATTAATGAGTTCTTATAGGTCAAATGCTTTGAAATCAAACAAAAAAGCAGCTAATATAAACGCACTCCATCAGGTGTTTTGTTGTAGTTTACCACAATGGCCGATAGTTATTTAGACACGTTTTATTGTCAAAGGCAGAGCTTAAACCGTCCTCTCCGATCTGTTTGCTTTACCCCAGGCTGATGTGCTTCAGTAGGTGTGTATTTGCTCTTGTAGTCGCACCTGAGTGGCACAGTAATCCAGTGCTGTTTTTCCAAATTTGCCTCCAAGTTTAAGATTGCCCTCTGGACTGACCTGCATACATCACGCAGGGTTAATCACAAGGGCTCGGGCTCCACAGACAGGCCTGTTTGTTAGAAAGATTAATTGAGAAAATTTTGTTTCGTTCTTCCCTTTAAGCACAGTAGCTGATGAAGGCGGTTTTATTTTCGCCCTAAAGACAAGGCCGACCTCTGTGTTCGGTTGTGGCTAAAAGACAAACTAGTTATTTTTGCATTAGTTGCCTTTTCTCTGCGAATACAGCGCGGCTCACTCACCAGAGTAGTTTGACATTTTTCTTTTTGTTTACTTTTTTGTACTTCTGTGTATTTTTTTTTTTTTTTTTACACATTAGGAAAAGTGATATCTAGTATTGTTTACACTATTTCTAAATAAGATTCTTAATTATGAGTCGGAACCAAGAACCAAGTCTTATTCAGAACCAGTTCCAATTCAGATGTTTTGGTTCACTTTTGGTTCTGTTAATGATTATAGAATGAACGACTCGTATGAACTGATTCTTTTTGGTTAATCAAACAATACATAATAATCAGTGTGCCTTGATTCCCTAATGAATGAATCATCAAAAGTAAAAAAAAAAAAAATATCAAAGTATATTTAACTTATTTCTAATTTGTCTGTTTTGTTGAAATCTAAAATAATTGACTAATTTTGAAACTTTGGCTGCTGAAGAGATTACGTTCTTCCAAATGTTTCTTTCTCAAAAGTATTAAAAGAATTGTTAATGGAACCGTTAAGCAACTGGAATCGTGAATAAGAACGAGAATCATTACAATCCTTTCGATTCTAATCCCTATTCTTAAACTTCAACAAAGATTCAAACCAAAACTTTTGGTTTTCAAATTCAGGCAGTAAACATGATTTTTATTTTTTTTGATAACTCAACCTGATTATTTAAAACAGACATGAATATTAGTTGACTAACATCCAAAGAGTTTGAAAGTGGATATTTTTGTCTGCGTATGCGGTAATAATAGCCATCCTTGGTACCAAGTTAAATGGGATTTCATGCGTCTCAGAGCGATGGCGGTGGAACTTCAAACGGCCCACAGCCGTTCTGCCCCATAAAGCACGTGTCTCTGGGGACGTACCCAGACTGGAATATCTCATCAGACGGTACAGGAAGCTCTGAGAACTTGGAGGCCATCCTTTTAAAGGAAAAACAACAGCGGGCGAGTCGCCGGCCAGAGAGGAAGACAAAACAGTTCATTTCACAGTCTGCCTGGTCATTAGCCTTCTCCTTGTCATCTGGGGACCCTCACGTACCTTTGTCCATGACCTCTGTGGAGCTCGTCCGATTGGTAATCACTTCCTACTTTTGTAGACTTGGTGGGGGGGCACAACAAAGCCATGCCAGTGGACCCTTCCATCCGTTCTGTGAATAAGCACATAAGCGTCTATTGCTAGAGATTTCAGCTTATACCTCCCATGTCAATAATAGATCACTTAAGCAGTCAGTATAAGCAAAACCTTGACATGGGCCACTGACAAAAACCTGCGGCTCACTGAACAACAGACACACGCCTGTCTATTGCAAGAGGGGTCAGAGGTCACCTGACCATTCTACGCCATCTTAAACAAACCGTAGTCACCCACAATACACTCCATGTGGCATGTGCTGCTGGTTTAAAGATATTCTGGGTAAGACTGGATGAATAGATGTTAGTTTTTGGAAACAAACAATAATCCCAGGTAATCAGTCTGAGGAAATGGCCCTTTGAATGAAAGAAACTGAACACTGGCTGTGTTATAGTAAATTGTTTATATGTTGGCAGGCTCAGTCGGAATGAAGTGATTTCTGTTGTCTGAGATAAGCACGCCCGTGATTTGTTTTCATATGAGGCGCTCACAAATAAAACCCAAATTCGCTGAAAAACGCGGGAAAATGTGAAACACGTGTATGGCTGTAGGTAAACATCTTTTCATGGCTGGTCCACCTTAAGTTCCCCCCCTTTTTTTCTTCTTCTTTTTTTTTGAAGAGCTGTCTTTGGACGTGCCAAGCGAGAGAAGTGTACACAAAAGATAGGCTTGTCACAACAGATGTTCCAGATGCGACCCTGTGTCAGATGATTACCATTTCTTTTTTTCCTTAACCATACAGTGTGTTGTTTTACTGAGCCTTTAGCTTTAGGCCTAGCTGTCTGAATAGAAATGTCCATGTGCTGTGAGTTACACCCTTACAGGCTTTGGACAACTTGGACTGATATATATAAATCAATATTTATACAATAAAATTAATTTAAAATTTGGTTATTGTTTTTACTGATGTATCTAATCAGTTGATTCATTGTCCTACTTTGTCAAGCAAAGAGAGTTGGACATGGCAGGAGACATAAAGGTACAGTTAACTGAAAAACTGGGTCAGCATTAGTTTGGCATAATGCAATATTGTTCGTTATTGTCGTTCAATAAAAAGTCTCTTTTATTTTACGCTGATGGCTGAGAGTCCTTGCGCTAGAAAAGGTTCAAAACAAGAAGGTGCAAAGGTGGGCTTTGTTTTTTCGCTTTAGGATTTTTATGTTTTCATAACTTCAGTAATATTGTTTAATATTCAGTGCCATAGGCCTATAGAGTGTCGTTTTTATCTCCCCGCGTTATGAGATGGATAATTATTTTTCATTCGATAATACTATCCATTTTTATTTGTGACTTTGCATGGAAATGCTGTTGTTCCGGTTTAAAAATAATTATTATATAAAAATTTATAATAAAATGGTGTCATATTGTCCAGTTAGTTAAGAAATTGAATTGAAATTTGACTTTTTTTCCCTTTTTTTTAAACAAAAGCCTATTTTTGCATTTTTAAAAAAAAAAAGTTATTTATATGGTTATTTTAAATTGTACGCGTATTAACGCATTGCCGTTTAATTATTTACAGCGTATGCTACAATTTAACACGTTTCTTTTAAAATAAATTATAGTAGGATCTAATTTATCTTGAATTATACACTTTTATTATTTATTTATTATTATTTATTCATTTATTATTATTATTATTAAAATTATTCAATTTTAATAGCAAGTGTTGACTTTGTGACATTGTAATGTCGAACTCGTGTTTTACACATATTTACTCAAATCTGTCACTGTGTGTGTGTGTGTGTGTGTTTTCGAAGCGCAGGTATTTCCTCTGGGATCAAACAGTGTTTTCATGCTGAACTTCTCACGCATCATGTTTGACTTCAAAGACGGACACAAATTTCGGTGCATTCACCGCATAAATAATGGACATTTTTAGAAGCGGTCATTGTTGGAAACAGCCGTCAGTCATTATTCATGGATGCAGGTACACAGGCTGCGCGACCGCGGGCCCCAGTCGGCCCCTCTCATCAAGGCGAAGCGCTACCAGAGAAAACACAGATGGGTAGACCCCTGACGGAAGAGCCATGGGTCCGGGTGTCCCGGCCTTCCTGATGGGCCAAACTCATTACCTCTAGCCGGGAACAGGCTCACGCGAAGGGAGGCCCAATCCTCCCCAAACGGGCTCTTCCGGCCCCAAATGTGTACTAAAGCAGGGAAATAACATGTGCGCTTCACTTGACAATGGACGGATTGTTAAAAGATTTAATTATAAGGATGAATATACACAGGCTATATGAAAAACTAGTTACTAGCTACTATCTTTGTGATTACCTGTTTTTAAGCAAGTGCTATTAAATATCCTGATAGTAGGTTATCGTATGCTAAATATTTTATTTTTATGTTTTAAATGTATCGAAGTAATGAATTACAATATATTGTATATGATTATATTTATAACTAATTAATTTGTTCTTTTTAAAAAGGGTATCAGAAAATGATTTAATTATTTTTATAGGCATTTATAATGCATGTAGCCTATATTATAAATTAAAAATTTTTGGCAGCATGTTTAGCATGCACAAGATGCGTAAAAACATAACGAAATTCTCGTTCGTGTTCGTTTTTCATTTCTTTTCTTTTTTTTTAATCTCCGTTCAGTTTTTAATCACTATTAACGCAGAGCAATTTGAAATGTCTGCATACGGCGTTGCTGGTCCCAGTGCATCGAGTTGTTACCACAAACAAAAAAATTATACGACCAATTAGTCGTCGCTCAAATGGCTGGAAACATTGTTTAACCTTTGATACTTCAGAAAGTCGTTAGCTGCCAGAGGTCAAACGGTGTGCAAGCGTTTCTTTCCTCTACCATGGGATTACCTAAATCACGCCTAGAGAAACCGCAGAGCAGAGGATGCCAAACGCGCTTCTCTGTTGTAGGCGAATCTAGTTCAATAACGGCTCACTTTCATTTACAGTGTTTATGGAAGTTGAATTACGTAAACACTGAGAATTACATCCATAACCTACCTACTTCGTGCATCTCGTTTCTTTTTGAAAATGTAGC